GTCAGTTCTCTCAAACACTGGTAAATGCCACTCATGGTGTCCTGCAGTGCTTGAGGGGACTGGTCATTGATAGGTATCTCTGATTGGTCTTGAGATGTATTTTCCTCCATCCTATAACACATAGTTTATGATATTATGACTGCATAAAACTATAACCATATCCAAAGGTCAAGAAAACAACTCTAATCTCACATAGTTAGTAACTAAGATACATGTGGTTTCTTATCCTAGATGTTATTCACATGAAGAACTAAAGTCTAGGACAGTCACCTCTAAGTTATGTAGTGATACATATATTCCTACTATTCTAAGAGTTACTACTATTTACAGACAAAAGTTCTTAGAATAGTAAAGCCGACGGTAGATTTAAGGACCAAGAAGTCTCATGTCTCTCCACCTGGAGACACATTAATTTGCAGAACCCACAGAATCTGCGCGATGGTCTGTTTTGGGTGGTGCGGCTGCAGGGGCTACATTAGGTTGTGGGTCATCATCTTCATTATTGTTCAGGTTAGGGGATTCTATTGGTTGCCCCTCATGAGCCCCCACAGGTGCCCACTGGATGTCTTGTACTGGCAATCCATTTAAAATTTCCTTGTACAGGTTAGGGTTCCTTTCAATGCTTAGTACTTGACGGAGCACCCTTAGTTGTGAAGTCAATCTGTGATGTACTAACATTTTTNGTTCTTTGTGGAGAACGGATGCGAATAGTGACGTTTGCCTACGAATTCAAACTTTCCACCTCCCAATGTACGGAATTTGATTTTTTTACCGTAGCAATCCATGATGGCATGATAACAACATAGTAGGTCCNCAAGAATGGCCAATTTTGGGATACATCTTGAATTTCACGGACTATCCAATTGTAGGCCTCTATATTAACTCTAAGAGTCTGGTATTCACTAGTCGCCTCAGAGCCCATGTTACTATGAGCCATGTAAAGATTATCCCAAGATGTCATACCTATAGTCATAAAGTTAGTTATGTTGATAAAACATAATATGTCTGTAAAATATGTCCAGTATTAGTAAATTAATCCCACTATTTAGTATATATATATATATATATAAGTCTCATGTAAGACCTAATTCCAGGCTCTAATACCACTTTGTCACACCCAAAAAAAAAAATTCCTTTTAAAAAACAAATACCCGGGTGTGATTAAGGAATAAAGTTTACCGAATGTACAATAATCTTCCTTCCGTACAAGTACATAATCCTCACAAGATCATTTCAAATATTNTAAAGAATAAAATTACACCGAACTTACAATAATCTTCCTTATATTATTTTATTTTACTTACGAGTACATAATCCTCACAAGATCATTTCAAATATTCTTGATACAACATAAAGAGAAATAATAATAGCAAACTCTATCCTTTTAGCCTATCTTTCAGCTTGACTTCATTTATCTGAAAAATGTTAAATAGGGATGAGCTCACCAGCTCAGTAGGGNTCTAAAGATGACCCCTACATATATATGTAGATATGCTTGTCCTTTCACCTGCACACACACACACACGCACACACATATATAGATATAAATATGAATATATTTGTTACAATTTTTAACCTAAGTTATAGTAATTTGACTTGTTTTCACGTGAAAGAGTCCATATTTGAGGTCCATTTATTTATAAAAAAAATCTACTTTTTATTTCTTAATATAAAATCATAATTAACGACCTAATTAGCATGTCGATAATTAATTTATATACGAGTCGTCACAATACGTTTGTATGCTAACATTTGGTTTATCTACATGTAAAGGTTTATTTTTATTTTTTCTGTGTGACTGTCTAGCTTACAAGTTCTATTGTGAATAAATGACTTAAGTGTTCTAATGTTAAGATGGGAATAAGAGGTCTTCGTGACATATTGTAATATTATAGTTTAGTTGTCTGTGTAACAAGCGGAAAGAAAAATCAAATAGTTGAGCCAATAAAGAGCCGGATGTCTAAGTGATGTATTTTTTTTGCATAGTGAAGACGTCAAATGGACGAAAGCGAATTGATAGACTGTGATGTCTACGTGACTAAAAGTAACCCTAGTGTTCAAGTTTGTCTTCGTAATTGAGATAAGTTAAATAAATAAAGGGTAAGTGACGGAAGCTAAATTTTTGATNCTTTTTTTTTTTCTTTGTTGCATGTGTCTTAAAGCTTGTAAACTTTCTAAAGATGACCCCTACATATATATGTAGATATGCTTGTCCTTTCACCTGCACACACACACACACGCACACACATATATAGATATAAATATGAATATATTTGTTACAATTTTTGACCTAAGTTATAGTCATTTGACTTGTTTTCACGTGAAGAGTCCATATTTGAGGTCCATTTATTTATAAAAAAAATCTACTTTTTATTTCTTAATATAAAATCATAATTGACGACCTAATTAGCATGTCGATAATTATTTTATATACGAGTCGTCACAGTACGTTTGTATGCTAACATTTGGTTTATCTACATGTAAAGGTTTATTTTTATTTTTTCTGTGTGACTGTCTAGCTTACAAGTTCTATTGTGAATAAATGACTTAAGTGTTCTAATGTTAAGATGGGAATAAGAGGTCTTCGTGACATATTGTAATATTATAGTTTAGTTGTCTGTGTAACAAGCGGAAAGAAAAATCAAATAGTTGAGCCAATAAAGAGCCGGATGTCTAAGTGATGTATTTTTTTTGCATAGTGAAGACGTCAAATGGACGAAAGCGAATTGATAGACTGTGATGTCTACGTGACTAAAAGTAACCCTAGTGTTCAAGTTTGTCTTCGTAATTGAGATAAGTTAAATAAATAAAGGGTAAGTGACGGAAGCTAAATTTTTGATATAATATGAGTTGTTCAAAAAGAAAAAAAAATATCTAGAAAAGGATACATTTTATTAAGTTGTCTGAGTGACGATCGTATACTGATATGGTGATAAACTTGTGTGGTGTTTTGTCACCTGTGTGGCAAGACGGTTATTTCTATGTGAAATCATAGCACAATGAAATAGAATTTCGAGAAAAGTTATAGAACCACGAATATTATTGTGTGGTGTTTTGTCGCCTGCGTGGTAAGATAATTATTTCTGTGTGAAACCGTAGCATAATGAAATAGAATTTTGAGAAAAGATATGAAAACACGAAAATTAAAATTCTATAAATGAGCAAGAACATCACATTACTTTTTTGCTTTATCTCTGAAATCATTAATGAAAACTTACTAAAATTTGCTTGAAAACTTTTTAGGTAACATGTACACAAACTTGCAGTCCACTGCCGTAGCTAGAAGTCTAGTCAGGAGTGTTGGGAAAGGCTTGTGTCAATTTCTTATGTCTTTTAAAAAAATAATAATAATTTTGAGTTGTATATGATGTCAATATATGTATATTTACATGATAGCAGGCCTTTGTGTTGCGCGCATATGATTTTTATTTATAAAAAAATGATCATAAGATAAATATTTCTAGAATGAGTTTTCTTTAAATGTCATGTTATAATGTTTTTATTAATAGCAAGATTGCCTAAATTTTATTTTTATAATAATAGTGTAGTGGGATTAGGGTGTTACAATATAACCACCTTCATGATAGAAAATAAGTTCTATTTTATTCTTTTTGTTATTTTTTTATTACTGATATAGTGTAACAATACACTCAATATTTACTCATATTATATTGACCTCCAATTTTATGTAAAAAAAGAAATTTGAGGGAGGTACACAAAATTGGAGTTAATTGTAAAAAAAGTATACAAAAAAGAATGTAAGGTAAAAAAGTTCTTAATTTTAATACTTATTTGTTTTTAAGTACATTGGAGGGAGGTACACAAAATTGGAGTTAATTGTAAAAAAAGTATACAGAAAAGAATGTAGGGTAAAAAAGTTCTTAATTTTAATACTTATTTGTTTTTAAGTACATTATTTGAAATTTTCATATTTTCTTATGACCTTTATATCTTCCCTTGATTCATGTGTATTTTTTTTGAAAAATAGTGTATTAAACATCTCCTAATTTTATTGGAAAACTTTAATATTTCGTATTTTTATGTCCTCCCTTGATTTATGCGTATTTTTTTGGAGAATTGATTTTGTTTTCAATTATATTTAATGCATATTGATTCATGCCTATTTTTTTTTTTGAAAAGTGATTTTGTTTTCAAACTATATTAATATTCAAACTCCATAACAGTGTAACAAAACATTTACACAAAATATTATATTATTACATTTTGTCAAACATATAATTTCATTCAAAACAGTTCATTTCTGTTTTGAATTTATTACCACATACACAAAATCACAGTACACTGTTTTTGTTACAATGTGTTATTAGACTGCCTTTGTTACGGTATATTATTACACTATTTTTGTTACAATATTTGCTTAATAAATTTGTTACGTTTTTGTTATAATGTAAATAATTTTATATTTCAAATTACATAAAAAAATAATTATATAAAAAAATAATTAACAAATTTTGAACTTCAAACAAAGTGATATATTCTAAAATAAACGGAATACTAAAGTTCTCTTATAAAATTAGGAGATATTTAATGCATAAATATAATTTGAAAACAAAACCACTTTTCAAAAAAAAATTAGCATTAATCATAGTGCATTAGAGATTTCGAAGTAAATGACCTTAAATTTCAGCGCTTAAAATAAATATCTTGTTATAATTTTTAGTAAAAATTTTTTTACAAAATATGTACTTACGTCTTTGTATTTATGTATTTTTTTTTAACATATTTTATTTTATATATTTTTTTACAATTATGTTTAATTCAGTGCGACGACTTCTAAGGACTCCCCCACTAATTCTGCCGAACCGGTCAGCCATCTGTTATAGCCTATAGGTTCAGAAAATAAACCCGGCCCGCCCGTCTCATGTAGCTCTGGTCATGGAGTATCCCCCAAGACAGCACGTATAAACTCCGCAGCGGTCTCTCTCTTTTTCTCTCTCTATATCATTTTCAGATTTCTTTCTTCCAAGTCTTCTCATATAATGTCGGTAGGTTCATGTCTCTTATCTCCTGCATTTTAACACCTCTCTCCCTCTACACATTTGTGTAAACCCTAGTTTTTTTTGTGCTTATTGTGTTGTTTGATCTACAGATCTTCGAGTACAATGGAAGTGCCCTAGTGGCCATGGTTGGGAAGAATTGCTTCGCAATCGCCAGTGATAGGCGGCTAGGTGTTCAACTTCAGACAATTGCAACTGATTTTCAGAAAATTTACATGATTCACGATAAGCTCTTCATCGGTCTCTCCGGTCTCGGTACCGATGCTCAAACTCTGTGAGTAAACTTTATGATTTATTGTAGTGATTTTTGCTTTCAATCTATTATAAGTTTTGTTTTGACAGTAGGTTTGGTTGTTTTGGAAGGTATCAAAGGCTTGTGTTCCGGCACAAGCTGTATCAGCTTCGGGAGGAGAGGGATATGAAGCCTGAGACCTTTGCTAGCCTTGTTTCTGCTATTCTTTACGAGAAAAGGTTGGTGAAATTGCATATACTCAACCTCGAAATGACTAATAGTTCGACTACATTTATTGGGTTTCCATTTATACAACCTAAACTTGTAATTATCTGCCACTATTGTTCATCTTATGAAACCAGTTAGTGAGCTGATGTTGCCTATGAAGTAAGAGAAGATGGGTTTTATATAGAATTTTGTTTGGATTAAGTTATTGTGGTAAGCTATCTTTAATCAGTTGGTGCTTAAGACTGAATTTGGGGCAGTTATATTTAGACGGCTTACAATTTTGAAAAAAAAATGTTTTATGCTGGAAAATGATTTCCATGAAGGCCTTTTATGGGTTATACAATTTTCCTTCTCATTATGACTTTCTGAAAATTATTATTAATAAAATGTGCAGGCGCACATGGATAAACATATGTTAAAGTAGAACATTTTTCTATCAATATTTTACATGTATAAGAATCATTATACATGAGAAAATGAATATAGTAAGCTTGCATGTGCGCAACTACACAGATGTAGATAAATATATAACTAGGTATATAATTTTATCTAGATGTATATGTACCTCCATGTTGTTTTAGTGCTTGTACATGCAAGTGAAACAACTTTGTTTCCAAGATTTTTTTTAGTTTGATCTCAAACAAACGAAACACTTTTTTTTTTTTTTTATCTTGAGACCCTCTTTTGTTTCTTTTGCATCTTATGTTTCTTCTTATCGTTCAAAATTCAAATAGTCAAAACTCTAACTATATTTCAATCTCTGTTATTAAGACAAAAAATTGTCTCTCTTTCGATCTCTATTGGATATACGCATTGCACAAAATGTTGAAAGAGTTGAAATAATATTTATATTCTAAGAAGCATGGACATGGGACATAAATTTGATCGAATACGGACAGCAGACACAACATTTGTCAATAAAGTAAGATACAGACACGTTGGGGACACTCTATATATAATTGTGTGTTATAAATAAATTTATATAATTTGTAACGAATATGTTGATAATAATATACTAGTAAAAAAATCAGTACTTTATGATAAGTAAATGTTATGACTAGTCGTCTAGTGTTACTTTTTAGACTAAAGCATTAGAATAGTCAAATAATCATAATTTTTTTTGTAGACAACGTGTATCTAATGTATATAGGTTAAATAATCGCTCTCATTTTTTCAATTCCTCTTGTCTAAAACTTTTATACATCTTTTGNTAGTAAAAAAATCAGTACTTTATGATAAGTAAATGTTATGACTAGTCGTCTAGTGTTACTTTTTAGACTAAAGCATTAGAATAGTCAAATAATCATAATTTTTTTTGTAGACAACGTGTATCTAACGTATATAGGTTAAATAATCGCTCTCATTTTTTCAATTCCTCTTGTCTAAAACTTTTATACATCTTTTTTTTTTATTATTATATTTTGAGTACAATTTTAAAAAGTCTAATTTTGGTAATTATATGTTCTCTTATAGTATAAGATACTTACGAATCAAATTTTTAAACATTGTTAGTCACATGTCAACATATGTTCATTATTTAGTAGTAGACACAATTTAAAGAAGTATCGGACACGTGTCCGAAATTAAAATTTTATCTTTTAATTATGGACACNTATTATATTTTGAGTACAATTTTAAAAAGTCTAATTTTGGTAATTATATGTTCTCTTATAGTATAAGATACTTACGAATCAAATTTTTAAACATTGTTAGTCACATGTCAACATATGTTTATTATTTAGTAGTAGACACAATTTAAAGAAGTATCAGACACGTGTCCGAAATTAAAATTTTATCTTTTAATTATGGACATAGATAAAAGAGTATCAGACACGTGTCTGAGAGTCTTCGAAGAGGTGAGGAGTGTTGGTGTCCAACATGTGTCCGACACACATATGTCTCCTTCTTTAGAGTCTCTTTGCTTTATAGTTTATATTACTTTAGACACTATTTGTATGTAAATGNTTATGGACATAGATAAAAGAGTATCAGACACGTGTCTGAGAGTCTTCGAAGAGGTGAGGAGTGTTGGTGTCCAACATGTGTCCGACACACATATGTCTCCTTCTTTAGAGTCTCTCTGCTTTATAGTTTATATTACTTTAGACACTATTTGTATGTAAATATATAAAATTAAATTCAGCATATCTTACAATATACGATATATTATTTTTGAAAAACAATACGTGTTCCAATACATGTTTTGACAAGCTTTACTTGTAATCAATTACTAAAGAATGTTGAAAGCGTTTTTTGAAAAATGATTTGTCGAACAAGGAGAGTGTTTGCAAACAAATGATATTTTCGAATGAACATTTGAAAGGTTGGTCGTGTAGCTTGAAAATGCTATTACAAAAATACTAGTGTTGATTATGTGGTATACAACCCAATTCGGCTTNAATGATATTTTCGAATGAACATTTGAAAGGTTGGTCGTGTAGCTTGAAAATGCTATTGCAAAAATACTAGTGTTGATTATGTGGTATACAACCCAATTCGGCTTAACAAAGTTTTGACCTAATATTTTTGGGGAGGATTTTTGGTGTTATTAGTATTTTTTTGATTGATATGAAATTCCGCAAGGGCTATTCAGTTGTATTTGAATGTTGTATACACACGATTTGGTATATTTGTGTAGTTTTCCACAAAAATATTTGAGTGTATTTGCATCGTTGTTATTGAGCCCTAGTTGCAAAATACATAACTTGGCAGTTTGTCTATGTACTTGGAATTCAAGGTGGACATTTGCACAACACCAAAAGTTATTGTTGTATCATCAATGTAGGTGGTTAAATTAAGTTACTTGAGGAAAGGAATTTATTTGAACATTATAGGGTTAATATCACTTTTGGTCCCTTAAGTATGCTCAATTTGTAGTTTAGTCCTTAATGTATCAATTTTATCAATTTAGTTCCGAATGTATTCTATTCATGTTTAAATGGTCCTTGCACTGATGACGCGTTAAGTTTTTGACAGAAATGACCACGTGTTATTCTTTCAAATAGTATCACGTAATCAATACGTAATTATTTCCATCAAAAACTTAATGGACAGTCTATGCAGGGCCCATTTAAACACGATTTGTATGCTTTAGGGATTAAATTAATAAAATTGATACATTGAGGACCAAATTGACAAAACGAGTATACTTCAAGGACCAAAAGTGTTATTAACCCAACATTATAAAAACATATTTAGACTTCTACTTTGTTGTTCTTTTGTTTAATGAAGTCTGTTTGGAATCTATTAGTTCTTCTGTGTATTTTTTTTAAGGGGGCTTGACTTGTTTTTTTATTTTGTTTTAATAAGGGGTTTCATCCCCATATTTTGGCACATGGACATCCTTTCCTNAAACATATTTAGACTTCTACTTTGTTGTTCTTTTGTTTAATGAAGTCTGTTTGGAATCTATTAGTTCTTCTGTGTATTTTTTTTAGGGGGGCTTGACTTGTTTTTTTATTTTGTTTTAATAAGGGGTTCATCCCCATATTTTGGCACATGGACATCCTTTCCTGCTTTAGTGTCAATATCAGTTGCAACCCCAATACTTGGTATGGGTGGAAGTGAGAGATAATTACGAGAAGCATTAGATCCCAGCTATTTGTCAAAAGGCAAATTGTATGACAATTCTATTCGTAGCAAACATATTCATGCTAGAACAATATGGGAACAAGCATTTATTGGATAATATAGGCACTGAAATTATTTGACACGTGGTTGTGGAGGTTGATCACAACGTACATAGTTGTCAAATCGTGTATCGGAAGGCGTATCGTAAGATACAAATATTGTATCGTATCGTGTATCGTATCGTGTATCGTAAGATACGATGCAATTTTAAATAAATAATAAAAAAATATATATACCTTTGAAAAAAAGTCATACACTCATAAAAAATATAGCATTTCATTAATACTCCACCAACTATTCAAGTTATCAACATAATCCACTACTATTATAATGCAAAGTTCACAACCATAGTTCACTAATTCAAACTTTAAACACCAAAGAGACTTCTAATCCAAATTTCTAACATCCATTTTGAACTCAATCTTCAATTTCAATTGAAAATGCATCATCATCATCATCATTGTGATCGGATGCCAACAAGTCTTCACTTGTCGTTTTTTTTAAAAAAAAATCAGAGCACAAAACGACGTCGTTTTTAAAAAAAAAAAAAAAAAAAAAAAAAAAAAAAAAATTGCACGTATCGTGCGTATCGTACCGATACGTATCGTATCGTAAAAACGTATCGTGTATCGGACGATACAACGCAAAAACGATACATAACTACGATCCGTATCGTTTTAGGGCTGTATCGTAACGTATCGTACGATACTAACAACTTTGACAACGTATAACAAGGNTATGACAATTCTATGCGTAGCAAACATATTCATGCTAGAACAATATGGGAACAAGCATTTATTGGATAATATAGGCACTGAAATTATTTGACACGTGGTTGTGGAGGTTGATCACAACGTACATAGTTGNGATAATATAGGCACTGAAATTATTTGACACGTGGTTGTGGAGGTTGATCACAACGTATAACAAGTTCACGTTAGCACATTATATTGAAGTATTTATAAGAGAACCAACCCGATAGTTAATACTTTTTTTGTGAACAACATCATTTGCACTTTTGACATATTCTTCTTCTTCTTCTCACTTCCTTAGCAACATGGACAACTCCTTGAGCGTGTGATTCTCTAATTCATTTTACTTTCCGCACTTCATTGGAAGACCTCTAGAATATATTTGTAGTTTTAATGTCTTTACCATACGAAGATTCCTCCAATTTTTTATTTTAATTTTCTTTGTGATATATGGAGACTGCGACAGCGTAAGTAATTTATAAGGTTTAGTTTCTTCATCGATCTAATCTCAAGTAAACCACAATTGGTGGTTCAAAATTTTCAAAAATATATGGTAAAATCCAATTGGTTGGTAAGTAAATTTACAAGAACAGTGATGATCCTTACTTCTCATGTATGATGAAAAACAATCTATTCAGACAAAATATACCTTCATTCACAATTCTGATGACTACTTTCTACTATCTCACTACTGTGTTTCCGAGACTCGATGGAATGAGTTGGAAGTCACTGGTATGCACATTTCCAATCACTAAA